GTTGCTTACAAAACAGGTTTCAGATGTCTTTACTTGTTTTGTCCATGACTTCACGACCCTGTTTATGAGTAAGTTTTTTTCGAAATGGAAAAACGTATGAGTAATAACAGAATAAATATTTTTTAATCTGGTAGTGTTAAACTACATGAGGGATTCCACAAAGAATCATTCTATTCGGGCAAGTGCTTTGAAGTATGAAAATCTTTCGTATTTCTATTCTCCATATTCTTCTTCAGCACTATCAATGACAGTCCTTCGCGTCATACAAATCTTGGCAAATTTAATATTGAAAAATATGATTAACTGGTGATTACGTCTCCTGTCCCTTCTCTGGATTCTCAGGACGCAATCTCACCCTACTCCTGCCTGTAGCAGCCTAGGGAAACATGTAGGCAGGCCACGACTCCACTGCTATTTTAGCACTCGAAAATTCAGTTTTAATACCAACGGATAGATCTCGATCCACAGGCATACATAACAATATTTATCCCCGGTACTATGGGTCCACTAGGAAACTGCTCGTTTTAAATACGTCGACCAGAATAACAAACTTCTGTCATCTTGCGGATTCATAGGATGTAGTCGCGTTGCCCCTTTTGTTTATGGTAGACAGGACGGTTTAAGCAGGTCATGGTTACATGAAATTTTAGGACCTGCAGTGCATGGACGCAAAATTGCGTCATTCTGTTGACTTGAACAAGAACCGAACATATATTCGAATATATTCGAACTCCAACGAATATACTTCGAACGGTATTTATACGTAATAGAATTCAACCCATTATACTGGGGTCAGTTTGATCACTGGTGCTTAATTTCAGAGTAAAATATTCACTCATTCATGCAGTTGTCCATGTCTAACTATTTACTTATAACGTATCTCAATGCAATGTTACAGTTCAAGAATAACTTTGACTCCATTTTTAAAATCAATTACCGCATAAGTTTCATGGTCAGATGTGGACATGACCCACTTTCGATTCCCATTCGTTCCATTTACCTTCGGTCTGCCAATTTCGTCGTCGTCTTCGATAAGATGGTTGACGGTTTGTTCGAGCATCTAAAACAGGCCAAAGGCAATGAAAGCGAGTAATTAAAAGTGAAAACTTGATGACTCCACGCCTACCTCCGCCATGTGAGCGTCGTCTTTGCCGAAATCGGTGACGGCGTCATCATTTTTTTCCTCGTCAAGATGACTGCATTCAAAGTCCCACTCTTCGTCTAAAGTAATATCAGTAGATCAGATATATGGACAATAATTTTCGGTGAGCATACGCTGCTACTCACCTGGAACGTCGGCTTCGAAAGTTTCGCTGTTCACCGCGTCGTAGTCTTCAATCATTGCAACAGTCGTCCGCTGACGATCGTCATCACTAGTTAAATTCAACGACTGTAAGTACTATGTGAAGATCGAAGAAAACAGGCAAATGAAACCCTTACCAATAGAAAATCTTTTCATTGCTTAGCCAAAAACAAAAACCGAGTGTCTTTAAAAAGATGTATTCATATAGGGATCTAAAACAACGGTGAATAAAAAACAGTTTACCAAAAAATGGTGGCGTAGAAACGTTCCTGACCGCCTGTTTTGAAGCAAACGCAATATTTCACTTATAACATAATAACAAACCAACAAAGTAAAGGCAAAATTCTACAGACTATTCGATAATGATAATAATAAACGCATTAAGTAATTTATAATTAACTATTGCAAGTTGTACTAGTGGTACACCTCAAAACTTTCGTTTCTATAGCCGAACGCTACAGGTTTATATTCAACTAAATCCTTTATAAACATACACATACACGAAGTTGATGGCGACGCTCGAGGGACATTTTAAACAGCGGATCATTTAAGGGTATATATTCTTCATGTTCCAGCAACATCACAAATTGGTTTCGCGCATTCTAATAAACACTAGGTGCATAATCTACCATCAGATACCATTCTTTCTGCCAAGCTGGCCATACACGTTTCTAACATGAACTCAAAATGTGTTATCTCTAGGTCTACCGACGAATGATTAAGTCATAGTAAATGCTGGAAATTCAGTCGACATCACATTCCATTCTGCCAGGAACATACTCATACCTCGAAAACTGCTGAACAATCGGCTGCTCAGCGACCAAAATGTGACGACTTTCAGAAGACTTCGAAGTGAAGTACTTTGACATAAAAATACTCATCTTAGGATTTAAAAGTTTGGCACATGGTTGCCAAATTCATAAGCAATCTTTCTTTCTCAGACGAGTGAAATGTCTTGGAGTGAGGTACGAAATGTTGAAGTTCTTCAGACAATGTTGCATGATGCCGTTGCTCCTCCTGTACGCTTTCTCCGCTTATTTTGATTAACTCAAAGGTCCTCATCATGGCCGTATAAAACAGTTTGACAATTCAGTGGCAATCAATGGCATGAAGCTCTCTGATAACATCCTTTTCAATATGACACAAGGACCTGTATATCGAATCAAATGAAGCAGAAGTAAATTTACGATCGATCAGGGTAACACTGAAGCTTTCAAGCGGTCTACAATTCCTTCGACAAAAACCGATAAGTCTGCTGTCTCGGGAGGGAGATATTTATGGCCGAAAATACTGAATGGAATTGACCTCCTGAAGTGAAAAAATTACAACTTTGGTCTTTGGGGTTGAATGCATAACCACACTGTTTACAATATTAGTCTTTAGTGAAACTTTTGTATTAATTAGTACATACATGTACTACTAGTTCCAGTAGTACTTCAATGTAGCAATAAACACAAATTTCGGCAACGACAGATAATGTTAATGATATGCTGGTGTGCTACAACTACTGGCAGCATTATTTCATCATGCAAACTGAACACCAGTCTCTTTTATTCGTGCATTTCTGTTTTCAATCGCTAGCTTTTGTTGTCGACTTGTTGTTGTTTATGTTTGTCTTTGCCACAACACATCCATTTCTAACGCATAATCACGTATGAAGTTAGGCCTCTCTCGCTTTACGAACACTGCAAAGCAAGGTGTCAGTTTATTCATTACACAAGTTTAAACCAGATGATATTTATTTCCGTTTAGGAAGCATTAATGTAATACATTAACGATTCGTCTCACCTCCAGTTTCATCACAAAGTACAGATACTTTGTCTCATTACAGAGGAAGGCTTATGCTTGGTGCACATGTAAAAACGGTAGTCCCCAAAGAAAAACAGTACAGCCAGTTATTGAATAATCTTTAATTTCTTTACAAACGCCAAAAAACAATCGAGGTAGTGTTTTTCAGTGCTGGCATTTTACTTTCAATTACATATTTGATACCTTCACCGATGTACTTCTTCTCCAAAGAAAACTTAACCATGTAAGCTTTGATCTCTTCTGAGGACTGTCATCAAAACAGGCAGATATACCATTATAATATGGTAAAGTAAAAAAGTTCAGAATTTAAAATTTCCTCTAAATCTACGCGGGTAATCGATTCTAACTGGTAGTTTTTTCTGCATTAAAGCAAAGGCTTCTCTAAAATGCATTTAATAATGTCACTCGACTAGGTGAAAAAACTAAACTAACTTTATGCCCCATATCGCTTCAGCTCCGCAACGTGCAGAAAATAAGGGCTGAATCTGCTTGATTAGATCCAGTAATGCCAATCAATACAATCTTTCGGCTGCGACGAATAATGAGGGTTAAATTGTAAGACCATATGAGAAGATGAAGGTACTCCATTCTCTTCCGGGTACCGATGACCTTCGGGTACACGTGAAAAATAGAAAAAGGAAGCCGGTTCAGCATATACCATTTACTCCAGCCCAAGAGGTTATCACGTTGGAGCCGAAAAGTGGCAGATGTCAACTAGGACGGCAGCATACATAACGAGACAGATGCAGATCTGCGGAAATACATCTTTCTATAATAGGAAAACCTGTGGCCATAACGAAAGTGTGTAAAAGCTGCAAATTCAACGAAAATCACAAACCTGAGTCGTTCTGCTTATGAAAGGAGCTCAAGGTAATAATCTCAACAAGAACATATAACACATGCATACGTATGTTGCTATATCAATGTGTCATGTGACCGCTGAAATGTCAGTCGGTGCGATTTTCAAGTGTTACTCTTCAAATCAAGCAGCAACATATTATCAAACCCTCGTTTAATTCGCCAAACTAACAGCTAACTATAATTTAAACAATTTAACCAGTTAATTAATTAGCTACAGAATTATCAAACTGTAAACTGCCAGGTATCAAGTCAGACGCAAATATACTCAAAGCTGTTCTTAAAGCTCTGATCAGCTTCCCAGAAGCACTGGCAAGTGACACTTTGATAACAATTTCACAATGTCGTTGATGGTTTTGTATATTTTTATTTTTTTAATATTCAACTACATATATAAGCTAAGGCTAACTTTTTGGATCCTAATTCCGGAAATAAGATACCAGGAGTCCGAAGTTTCTCTGAAAACTGCTGATGACTCCCAATAGCTGAACGGCGAGACTATATAAACACAATAATCATTTAGTAAATGCTGATTAAAGTGAGTTATTTCCATAAAATTTTTATTTCTGGTTTACTTCATACTCTGATCCGAGTTAACATATAACCGCCTTCAAATGATGCCCTTAGCACTATTCGATGCTGGTTATTAGACATATAACGAAGTACCAACATAAAGGCTAATCCTGTCTAAGGTCTAAAATTTCCACAGTCAACGAGTCTCATAATAATCGGTACAACCTTAACCGAACTTTTTAATTCTATGCGCAAAATCCTTTACTCAATTCACTAAATGAAATTCTACTAAATTCTTGAATGAATTCATAAATTTACTGTCATTTTTGACATAAAGGATTTCACAGGTCTCTCGCCATCTGATGGTCTGTCATAACTGAGGGTAAGATTTAACACCATATTCGTTGCAATCAAAAGGGTCAATTTATATGCGACTTCAGAGGATCCCACGTTTTATATTCAACAGCGAAATTCCAACGTTCGTTTGTAGACATGCACCTATTTAAGCCAATTAATTGCATCGTACACTCTAAAACTACATATCTGATTTCATCGAGACAAACGTAGAAAACAACGCACAAAATCTTTGAACGATCTTTCAACGCGAAACGTTGCTTTTATGTAAAAAAGTACTGTTCTCGGGAAAGTTTAAACCAGTCGAAAATATGGAACCATTTCGTTTTAAAAAGTAAACCGCACAGGAACAGATTTAGGCAAAATTTTAATCATTCTTTCATTTTTAAGGCAATCAGACTCTACTAAAGCACCAGTTCTCTAGGATGCCGAAAAATTCAGTCATCAGTATCCTCACAGAAATGCGCTAGACTGAGCAAACAGTGACTAGAAACGAAAAACATTACATGAAAATGAGACAGAAAAAAACGAAAAGCAGTCGTTTCATTACTACCCATTTTTTCAAACAAGCCATGAGAAGAACTGTTACCGATACCCAATATTGAAGGAACTTGAGTTTTACAGTTATCCCATGTCATGCAACTTTCGGTAAATACCCCTGGTCTGCAGGTACAATAGAAGTGATGATACAGTATCCAACATTTCAGCTATCATGTGAAATAGCATTTGCATCCGTTACAATGTTAGTCTTCTTTACATTTTCTTCATGGGGTCACTTCTGTCACTTTTCTTTCATTCAGCTGATGGTAGGGCACTGATTTAAATTTCCATACCATTGTCCATAAGTGCATCATTTCAGAAACAAAGTCAACAGCGGCTATCTGACAGACTATGTGTGTAGTCTCTTGTTTCCTTCCCCACGGTGGTACTCATTTGTCATACTCGAAAGGACAGAAAGCAACTTAGTTCATAGGGGCTTGAACATTGGATGCCATACCTATTAAGTAACTGCGGTATGAAACAGCCTCTGGTAAATTCACTGCTCAAAGGCGTTCATGAATAAGTGAAAGATTGCCCTTCAGCGGAATCGAACGAGGGAACTCCGAAGTTAGAAAGATACCTTTTATGCACTATGCCGCTTGTCTTTCTCCTTCATTGCAACTTTATAACCCAATGTAACACCACGCATAAGATTTTATTAAACAGAATTTTTACTTTACCTATACGAAACTTCAACTTTTACTTAGCCGTTCTAAAATGTGCCATAATTTTAAAATGGTTAGACTAAACTTTTATGCAATTTTGCGCATTGAAACGCTTTGGCGCTTAGCGGTACTGCAAATGGTTCGGAACAATACTGTAGATTCATGGCTACAGACGAATGACGTTTCAATTTCTATATGTTTATGCAAATAAGTTACTTTTGATTTGAAAGTGAAAGTTTCTTTCTTAAACACAATCGCCAAAACTACTGTTTTTTAATAGAGATGAAGGACTGAAGCGTGTTGCATTAACGGAAAGCTTGTAATCAGTCTTTGCGAATGAATGAGCAGGAGAACAACGAAATAAATGATTAACTGCAATAACACTTCAGGCTTTTGATTCTAGGTCCATAGTTGCATAAATCGGTGTTTAAATGATTCGTGGTTCAGGACACTAAATACAGTTAAAATACAACAATTTATTGCCGACGGATTTCTTTGCATAGATCGTAGTGTCTTTTGGGCAAGGCCATGTACAAATGTTAGGAAGATTTAGTGAATTGCATATCTTTACAAAAGCTGAAATTTCTGAGCTACCTCAACCCATTGTCAGAGTTAAATATACCTGCAGCACGCTTGGAATTTGAAGAAAAGTAACGGTGTAAGATGCCATGAAATCTGTCATTTGAGAAATTATGCGCTGTTTACACTCCGCATAGTTCTGCTGCATTGCAAATTTCAACATCACCAAAATATCCATGGAAGAAACTAAGAAACTGGTTGAACGACTATAGCTTGATGCGAGAATTTGAAAGCTTATAAAACTTGAAACAGCATAAAAATGCGTCCAACGCGAGTAAATGGTTTCAGCGAAGATGGAAAGGAACATATCATGATCGAAAAAGTATTATGATGACGAAACTTCACTTGGAATACTGAAACAGTGACCACCGAGAAAATTGCTGTAATGCCTAAGCGGTAATTTTTCTATTGGTGCGTAGTTGTTGACAGCTGATACGAAATAGAAGTCCTGAGAATGAAATATGACCTGTTACAACAAAGCTGCGCTGTGAAGCATAGAAACATACATGTTCGAAATAACGATGGGATACAATTAGCTCAACGAATGAATGGGAGTGCCATCAAGGTCTACCGTTGTCACGGCAAAGTCGTAAAAGATGACATGAAACATTCATATAAGCTTCTCCATTTAGAACTATGTAATTAAAAACAACACATCTTTATTACGGGTGAAATTGAAATGGATTGAACATTATCAGGATTGAACGCATATTGCTCAGCCAAAATTATATTAAACATTGCTTTAAAATCCATAAATGTTCGAAGAAATTCTTCGAGATGGGAAATTAAATCAAGGAATAAGCTGAATAGGCGGAGGTCTAATTTTTATTGGTCTTCATCAAACAGTGAATTAAGAAAGCAAACTTTCAATACGCAATGAATTGCACCTTAGTTATCTTACTTGAAATGTACCTCATTTTTTAAAGGTTTGTAACATATACTTCCTTTTCGATCAATAAAGATATGGTAAAATGCATAAGGACGTCATCAGTTCCCACTGCTTTCACAGGTGAACGACTTGCGTTGGGAGTTCAAAACATTTATTTGGCTACGGGTAACGGCTAATCAAAATGGTCTGAATAAATTCGCTGTTCTCGTGTTTTGATTCTCATTTATCTAACAATATTTATCAGAGAACCAAATTTCAGAGAGTCGCATTTATTGTCACACATTCTGAATTTTCATAAATTTAGAATAAAACAAATTAAGCCGAATATTATGTTTCAGCGTCAGTACCCCAAAATCGAATTAATGTTGTCTTAATTGACGGAAAAATATTTTGCACTTAACTGTTTATTAAGTTCATAATTTTCAGTAGTCTATTATTTAGTTTGGCCCCAAATAATTACGTATCGATCTTTCATCTGAATCCTTTATATATTTTGCGACGAAACGTACACTTAGAATAATTTTCAATTATTCACGTTATCCTAATTGCACCTTAGAACATGAATGGTCAGCAATTAGAGCTTCGAACTCGCAATCGAAGGATGATGGGCTTGAGTTGATTCATTGATCTTGAAAGATAAGAAAGTGAGCAACTTCCACCCAAATGAACCCTCTACCCTGGCAAAACTTGTAGCCTTCAAAAAATTAATTACTGCCAGCGTTTTGTATCGAAAGGGGCAGATGATGCAAATGCAAATGCGTTACGCGACTGTCGAAAAGTTTTCTGCCATATGTGGTGAAAATTTTAATTTATCTAAGTAGCAAAAACTCGACTGCATGAAAAATCAAGCATTTTAATAACGCTCTTTAAACCCTGAGTCATGTGGAAAACAATTCTGGAAAAAAACTCTGCATGGATCTTTCGACTTGCTTATTTACTCAGCTAGCTGGTGGCACCGACTGGCACCACTAAAAGCTGAAAATGTTTTGTTTCTTTCATGAGGAAGTGAAGAAGATCGGCATCCAAGAGGTCTGAAACTTCGATTGTCCCATTTTAGCTACTTATGTGGTGCTCAGCGCGCTTCACCTTTTAGCAAGTAATCATTTTAGCTTCACCTGGTTCGGACGCTCGATTGAGTGTGAGGAATATATTCTTGCTATGTTGCTCATGGCGGTAAACGGAAAAGGGAAATTGGTCACGCTTGAAATGTCACAATCTCAATCACTTTCATGATTGGTCCATTTTAGCGCTCCTCGTTTCATTAATTTGATGGTGTGACGCTGACCTCCGTTTCTATGCCATCACACAGAAGAGGGCCTTTTTAAAGGCAGAGTCTACAGCGCATGGCGATCGTTACGTGTAGTCTCCTGTTTCCTTTCATTAAAGTGGCACTCATTTATCAACC